GTGGGTCAGCCGTGGGTCAGCCGTGGGTCCCGGGTGGGTTGTGGGGCAGCCGTGGGGTCCCGGGTGGGTTGTGGGTCGTGGGTGGTCCCAGATGGGCCGTGGGTGGTCCCAGGTGGGCCGTGGGTCAACCATGGGTCCCAGGTGGGTTGTGGGTCAGTTGTGGGTCAGTTGTGGGTCAGCCGTGGGTCAGCCGTGGGTCAGCCGTGGGTCAGCCGTGCCCCACGTGCCCCCCCAGGCCGGTGCGTGATCGAGGTGCTGCCGCCGCTGCCCACGCGGGGTCTGGGCACGGCCGACGTCCCCGCGCTGACCGAGCGCGTCCGCGCCACCATGCTGCGAGCCTTCGACGCCCTCACGGCCGAGCTGCGCCCCACGGCCGCCCACGGGGACCCACGGCGACCCACGGAGCCCCACGGGGACCCACGGAGACCCATGGACACCCAGGGAGACCCACGGAGACCCATGGACACCCAGGGAGACCCACAGCGACCCACGGAGCCCCAGGGAGAACCACAGGGACCCACGGACACCCACAGGGACCCACGGAGCCCCACGGAGCCCCAGGGGGACCCACGGCGACCCACGGAGCCCCACGGGGACCCACGGGGACCCACCGACACCCACGGGGACCCACAGCACCCCATGGGCACCCAGGGAGAACCACAGGGACCCACGGCCACCCACGGGGACCCACGGCGACCCACGGAGCCCCACGGGGACCCATGGGGACCCACCAACACCCACGGGGACCCACGGGGACCTACAGACCCCCAGGGAGAACCACAGGGACCCACGGAGCCCCAGGGAGACCCACGGAGACCCATGGACACCCATGAGGACCCACAGCGCCCCACGGGCACCCACGGGGACCCACAGCGACCCACGGAGCCCCAGGGAGACCCACGGAGCTCCACAGATCCCCAGGGAGACCCACAGCGCCCCATGGGCATCCACGGGGGCCCACGGGGACCCACGGAGCCCCACGGGGACCCACAGCGCCCCATGGGCACCCAGGGAGACCCACAGGGACCCACCGACACCCACGGGGACCCACAGCAACCCACGGAGCCCCACGGGGACCCACAGCGACCTACAGACCCCCAGGGAGAACCACGGGGACCCACGGACCCCCAGGGAGACCCCCAGCGACCCACGGGCACCCACGGGGGCCCATGGGGACCCACAGAGCCCCAGGGAGACCCACAGCGCCCCACAGACCCCCAGGGCGACCCACAGCACCCCACGGACCCCCAGGGCAACCCACAGCACCCCACAGGCACCCACGGGGACCCACAGCGACCCACAGACCCCCAGGGAGACCCACAGCGCCCCACAGACCCCCAGCACCCCAC